AAGATGACCTTTTTTTTTTATTCATCTCATTTTCGGTTTGTCGTCGTCGTCGTCGTCGTCGTCGTCGTCTTCCCGGGGCTGCTCTTTAATAGAATTGGAGCTGTGTGTGCCTCTCTAGTTCGGGATTCACATTTGGGAAGATGAATGAATGAATGAAGCTCATTAAATTATGGGGCACTTATGGGTTAGCGGTGTGTGTTTTAAGCCACATTTTGAAATATGAGTAGCGTACACTGAGCACAATTATGGGGTGCCTTGTTACTTTGTTGCTAGCCAAGACTTGAACCGAATGGAGTTTATATCATTTAATTTCTTTCTACAAAAAGTTAGCTCTTCCCAAAGTTGTCACTTAATCTGACTTAGGATTTTCTTAGTTGTTCGGACAGGATCGGACTGAAACAGCTTTTCATCTTTATCGTAAAACTAAAAACTATTTATCTTTTTCGATATTCTATATGATCTTCCAACTTTTCACTTACTCTAGTTTTCTTATTTCTTAAGCCTTTTTTTTAACTCTTTGCCCACTTGAATATCTTCTATGCCTTCTCCCTTTATTTTAATTATTATGTATTTTATTTGAATTTTTACTTTAACTTTTACTGTTTGCTTAATGTATTATAATGAATTCTTCTGTCGAGACTAGTTTTGTCAGTCATAAGTTAAACAAATAAACAGAAGCTTCTCATCCAATTCGCTGTTTATATTAATTACCCTTGAATTTTTTCTCAGTGTGCATGGGCCAATCCTCTGAGAGCAGCAACAATTTCCGATCATGTGCGCTGAACACATTTAAATCCAACAATCCGATAGCTCAGTTTACTATTTTGATTTTGAATCTGGCCGCTGTTGTTGTTGTTTTTGTTGTTCGCGCTGCTCGTTTAGAGCAAATTTTCAAGATCAACAACAACGCAGTTGAGCGTCACGAAGATGAAAAGCGAGATCTTTTATAGCGATTAGGCCCGGACAATGAATGCACGATGGATTCAGAAAAAAAATAAGAAAAAACAAAAAACACAGAACCGAAAACGCGACTACAGAACTTTATATAGGAGACAAGCTAAAGAGACAAGAATGAGAACAAGAACACAAACTTCTTGTTGATCTTTTTTTCCGAATGCTGCAATGCTTTGTTGTTGTTGTTGTTCTTCTTTGGCATTATGAGAATTGAGCCAAACATTTTTCAACTGGCTGCGCGACGCAGACAAAGGCATTAAATACGAAATGAGTCTGGGATATATATATTTTGGAAACCGTTGACAGGCATTATTACTGTCAACCCCGTGCCCAGGGCTCTTGTTTGTCTAAACATAATTGAAACGCGCTTTCAATGAGTTAATTTGCAGTTTGCCCTGGCACTTCATGAAGGACCGGACCCCGGACGCCTACGTAAACACAATTAGGTGCCAAGTAATAGACGCGTCCAGTCCAAGCCACACGGGCCGTGAAATGACAAAATGTGGAGTAAACGATCTTGGTAAACAAACAAAGAGCATGGCCCATGAATTCTTGAATGAGCAGTGTCACGGCTCCACTGGCTGCCCCACGTTGGGGCATCGTGTGTCCACAACAGCCTAACATAATATTTTCATAGGGCATTTTGAATGGTTTTGTATTCAAGTGGAGCTCGCTCGCACGCCGATGCATCTCGCCGCCCTGGCGTATACGTAATTGTTTTGTAAATGATATGCCAGACAGACACACATGAAGTTATGCTGCCCACTGTCCAAATGACTTGCCACTTTTTTGTTGCCAAGTTTAAAGTTGCTTAATTAGGCGGCTCGACGAGTCTCGCATCTCGCGCGCATCTCTATGATGCGGCTATAGCCATATCTATGATATTTGTGGCCCATGTTGACAGGCAACAAAAGATATGTAAAGCTAGTCGCAGCCAACAGCCAACGTTGGACTGGGAATACGCATAACCATACGCACTGCTCGGCAACTTCATTAACAGCCACCCGTTTAAGAAGTAAAAATAAAGTATTATTTATGATTATTGTGAGAATTTCACAATGGCATGCGAGAATTTATTGTTAATGCTTTGTTGCAGCGACCAGAGACTGCGGCTGCGGCTGTGACTGTGACTGTGACTGTGACTGTGGCTGCGGCATACCCGAGCAGCCTCTGTACGATGGATGCAGGTACTATGGGCCACGTTGCACACCTGAGTGCGCAAATTGAGGACGAGATTAGGAAATGGCTTGGTTCATGGTGTGGATTAATTAGCAAAACGATTCTATTTACTCTAAACGTTTCTTAGATAATTCTCGAGTATATTTATGTGCTATTACTCACGCATTCATCTTTCTTTCATTTATGTTTAGCATAGTTGCATTCCATGCGGCTTTGTCCCACGGTGCTGCACTCAGATCCTCGAACATACGAAAATGCCCAGCAAGTAGACAAAACAAATTCCGACAGCAATAACAACTTTTGATGTTTTCTGGCATTGCACACACACATATTTACATATTTCACTTATTTCTCACACAGCCCGTTCTTGTCTAGTTTGGGATGCATTCTTGCGGCATGGAATTGTAATTAAACTTTAATTCGGATGTTATGCCAAGCATTTGCGGCTTACACCTGTTGCTGTCGTAAACGTGGCTCTTTATTAGTCAATCTGTGTTTGAAAGAATGCCAAACACTTCCCGGTGGCAGCTGTTGCTGACTGTCGTTGTTCAACACTTGAAATGCGTCGCCATCTTTGCTGCTGTCGCGTTGTGCACAGCGTTGCCACATTTCAGCCAGCCACAGTGGGGCAGTTGCCATGGGCTTCAATAATAAAATCTTGTTTTGAGAATTCATTCATACAAATTTTTATTGTTTTTTTTTTGTTTTCATATTTTTTTTCTTTTGCATTTTGTTTGTTCGTTTTTTGTAGCTTGTATTTTTTTCTTGTTTTTGTTTTTTTTTTTCAATTCATTTTTTAATTACTAAAATTTCATAAAATTGTTTAGACTAATTCGTAAGTACAACACTAAATTACAATTGTTTGTATGTAACTACTATTTTAATATTTTTCATGTTGCATAAATATATGTACTTAATGTCTTATAAACTTTTTACAATCTGACGTGTGTGTGTGTGTGTTTTTTTTTTAGGTTTTCTTTTTTGCAATAAAAATATAAATTACTAAAAACGACTATTTAAAAAATTAAATATTTATAAAAAATATATGTATATATGCATATGTATATAGGCGGTTTAAGCATATATTCTGTATGAGCGTAGATAACAAAATGTTTTAAAGAGAGCTTTTAGTTAATATGTACACAAAATTAGTTGAGATAAATATTGATGAGCGCTGATTTGTTGGTGTAGTTTTTTTTTTTTTTTTTTTTTTTTTTTTTAATTAGCAAATGTATAAGAAAAATATATGTATGAATATATTCATTCTTAATTTTTTTTTGTTTTGTTTTTTTTTAGCACTTTTACAACTAGTTTTACACTAACGAGGAACCATTTGCAATTTAACTGTAAGTTTTATGAGTTTGTTTTGTGAAGATTTAATTTTGATATTTTGGAATTACGCAAACAGATGTTGCGTCATACTTGCATACTACACATTGTTTCTTAAATGGTTTTGAGATCAAAATTAAATGTAAATCATTTTTTTTTTTTAGTATTTTTCTCTCTGTTGTGTAACAACAGAGGAAATAATAATAAGACTATACTGTTCTGTAGACTTGCAAACATACGCACGCATATATTAGATAAATGTTTTTGTATTTTGTATATTTCATTCAATTTTGTCTGGTTTTTTGTTGTTTTTTCTTTTCTTTCATTTTGTATCAAATAAATTTACGCTTAAGATTTATAAATTCAATACATTTCGTTAACAGTTAGTTATTAACTATAAATATTGTTGACTTCTTTTCTATAGTTGCTCCAAATTACAAAAAAAAAAAAAAATGCCAAAAATAATACAAAAAGTTAAAAAAAAATAAGATGAAATAAAAGGTGTATATAGTGTAAAAATTAAGCACTTATTATAGAATCACTAAATGTTGTTGTTTGTCTTCTTCTTCTTCTTCTTTTGTTTGTCTGTCTGTTTAGGGCTTTTAGATAATGTAATTAAGCTAGAGTTAAATTTGAGTCATACTTGATGCATATATTTTAGACACTAAAAATAGAGCGCGAGATAGTCAATTATTTTTTTGTTGTTTATTTTTTTTTTCTTTCGTTTTTTATTATTTTGTTTTGTTTGTGTGTGTGTGTGTGTGTGTGTGTTTGTCGTATATCAGAGCTTTTACCTATAGATACTATATACAAAATGCTTGTGCACTACTTTGCATAGACATGTGGACAAGTCGGTCGACCATGCAGCGTCAATGAGGAATTTTTGTATTTAACTTAGGCTATAAATTAGTTGCTAGTTACGTGCTAGAGTTCTTTGCGTTAAGTAGTATTTACAATTTATCGCAACTAAGTGAGAAAATAATAATAATATTAATAATAATAATTGAAGCAGATTTTTCAGTAACATGCAAAACGTCAGTATATATATATATATATATATGTATATAAGTATATATAGAGTTTGATTTCGTCCAGTTTAGAATTTCTAGAATTTCTCGTGGCTGCCAGCGCTTTCTCTTTTCTCAGTTACGAGCCGCAGCCCCGCGCCGTTGCCATGGTCCAGTGTGGAGGGAGAGTTTTAGTCGAAGGCAGAGTTTTCAAAAACAATTGATTTTCTTGAGTAGCTTTATATATATATATATATATATACGTATTATTTATATATATGTATTTAGTTTTATATACATTGAGAACTTTATGCTTACGTCAGTCCATGTGAAACTAAAATGTTAAATTAATAATTACGATATAAAGTTTTAAAATTGATCGATAAGTGTTTGTGTGTGTGTGCGTGGGTGTGTGGGTGTGTGTGTGTGTGTGTAGGTGTGTGTAGAGTTAAGCCTGTTACAATTTTGACGACTGCACTGCTTCAATCAACAACAAAGCCATAAACGGCTCATTTGGCGTCTCTCTCTCTCACTCTCTCTCTCTCTCGCTCTCTCTCGCTGGCAGTCTTTGTTTACATGTGCGGCGTACCACAGACCACGGTGCGCTGCGTCGTCGCCGCACCGCTGCCCGTCGCCGAGGCGGCGGCCATCAGCTGCGAGGAGCAGGCGCCGGCGACACCTGCCGCGGCCAAGGAGGGCCAGCGCTGGCTGCAGTAGGAGCCCTCGCCCAGCACCGAGATGCGCTTGCCCTTGCCCTCGCTGGCGCCCGTTCCAGCGCCGGACGCGCTGTAGTCTTTGGTTGAGCCGGCTGCTGCTGCCGCTGCCGCTCCGGCGGCTCCAGCGCCCGCAGAGAGCAGCTGGGAGGCGCGATGCATGAGCGTGGGATCCGTATTGAGCTGCTTCTGCGACTTGGCGCGCTGCAGCGGCGCTATCTGGCCCACGCCGCAGAACTCGGAATTGGCATTGTTGTCCGCGGCGGCGGCATAGTTGGCCAACGCTCCGGAATACATGCGGCACTCGTCGGCGGCGGCCGCGGCCGCAGCAGCTGCAGCGGCCGAGGCGCAGATGTTGTTGACCGACTTGTCCCACGTGTTCTTGATGATGTTGGGATTGCTGTTGTCAAAGGTCAGGCCGCCGCTGCTGCCGCGCTTCACGCCCAGCGTGCCGGCGGGCAGGCCGCCGACGCCCACGCCGACGCCGACGCCGCTGCCATTATGATGGAGCGTGGCGACCGCGTTCTGTTCGTTCTGTTTGCGTGCCTCGGCGTCGTCCTTCTCCTGGGCGCGCTTGCGCTTGCGCTTCATGCAGAAGACAACGCAGGCGGCGATCACAGCGACCAGCGGCATGGCCACGGAGAAGATGGCGATGAGCACGACCTGGGCATTGGTGAGGCCATCGGCGCGGGCCTGCGTCGTGGCGCCATATTGATGGGCATCGAAGCTGACCGAGTCGTAGGACTCCTCGTCACACTGCTTGCCGCGAAAGCCGTTGGCGCAGACGCACTCGAAGCTGTTGACGCGATTCATGCAGGTGCCGCCGTTGTGGCAGGGCAGGCTGCCGCACTCGTCAATGTCAATGGAGCAGTCCTTGCCGGTGAAGCCCGCACGACACGCGCACTGATAGTCATTGTTCAGATTGGTGCAGCTGCCGCCGTTGGCGCACGGCTTGGTCAGGCACAGATCGACTCGGCTGCTGCAGCGCGGCCCATGGAAGCCGGGCACGCACTGGCAGCGATACTGGTTGAGCATGTCGATGCAGGTGCCGCCATTCTGGCACTTGTGCCCCACACAGTCATCGATGTTCTGCTCGCATTTGGCGCCCGTGTAGCCGTCGGGGCAGATGCATTTGCCATTCGGCTGGCAGCTGGCGCCGTTCTGGCAGGGATTCGGATTGCAGTTGTCTAAGTGCAGCTCGCAGGTGTTGCCGCTGTAGCCGCTGGGGCAGTCGCACTGAAACCCCTGCTTGCTGTTGCTGCTCGTGTTGCGGCATCTGCCCTGGTGGCACGGCTTGTCGGCGCAGGTCAGCAGCTTCTCCTCGCACATGCGTCCGTTCCAGCCCTTGGGGCACATACACTTGTAGCCGCGCTGCGTCGCCTCGTCCACGCAGGTGCCGCCATTCTGGCAGGGATTCACGTCGGAATCGCACGAGTTGATCTCCGTCTGGCAATCGTTGCCGCTATAGCCCGGCGCACACATGCACGTGTACAGGCCCTGGCCAGTATTGAAGCAGGTGCCGCCATTCAGGCAGGGCCGATGGTTCGTGCAGTAGTTCAGGTCCTGGTTGCAGAACAGACCGCCCCAGCCCTCGTTGCAGATGCAGTCCCATGGCTTGTTGCACGTGCCGTGCACGCAGCTCGGGTACGGAGCACACTCATCGCACAGCGGTCCTCGCCAGCCCTTCTGGCAGCTGCAAGTAGAGCAAGGATAGCACAATTAATAAATGTCGAATAAAAAGCAAAGGAGAAGTCGAAATATTTAAGTATGTCCACAATTCAAATTGCAAGCGTCAATTGCACTGTGAACTAGTTCACTTTTCGCTTATCGATAACTAAATTTATTTGCCGCCAGTTCCAAAAGCAGAACGAATGCAATGCATAAGGCAAAAGGCAAAGCAAGAAAAAACGGAATATGCTCATTGCTCATCAATGAAATATGCAAAGGCAAGGGAGGCGAAGGGAAGGGGACGCTGATTGCTGGACATGACGGACACGGTTATTGCGCTCGGGGCGCTGGTTTACTTTTGAAGTCGAAGTCGAAGTCGAAGTCTCAGCCAATGCGAAAGCATGAAGGAAAGAAGGCGCATCACCTGCTTAGCAAATCGCTCGCACACAAACACACACACACAGACATAAATCAATACATACGTAATTGGCCGTGTGGGCGCAGCAACGCTTGGTTGGGTCTTGAAAGAAAATAAAACAAAAGGGCAACGACAACTTTTGCTTGGGATCTGCACTTTTACTGCTCCTGCCCGAACGCCCGTACGATTTGGATCGCTTGATCCCCCCAAGCGGGACGTGTGCTTGACAGCCGTGCCCAAGGAGAAGTTGTAGGGAAAAGGCATGTCAACTTCAGAGTCAAAAAAAAAAGTACAACAAAAAACAATGCAATGATGCGACGTTGTTTTTTTTTTTCATTTTCTGTTCAAGTGCACATATCCGCACAGCGCCGGGCAGAGCGAAGGGGGTTGGGGGCAATTTTGCATTTCTCACGATCGCAGCAAGCACTAAATTAATTTATTTTATTTGCAGCGCGCTCCACTTTGCGTTGCCAAACATACACACACGCACGCACGCGCGCGCGTCGCATTGTGCGCTGACCACAAATGCATTTTCGATTAATATGCAAAAGCCAAAAAAAAAACGAAAGAGAAAAATCCTTCACCCACAAACTCTCAATTGGCAATAATTCAAAGCAAATGCTAGTGTGGGGGGGGGGGGGTGCACAAGCGGTGCGAAAGAGAGAGAGAAGAGACAAGTAGTAATTGATATGCGTCAGTGTTTACACAAGCAGAAATGTCAAAAACGTTGGCGACACGACGTTCAACTATCAGCTGAGTGCGTGCGTGTGTGTGTGTGCGCGTGCGTGTGAGTGCATGTGTGTGTGTATTTGGTCATATAGCGCGCGCGCTTAGAATTATTAAAATATTCCCACCATTACGAGGCAGCGCAGCGCACAAAAAGCACTTTAATTTTCAATGGCTTTGCCGTTGGCTCTGGCCGTGGTGTTGGTGTTGGTTTGGGATTTGGCTGAGTGGCACACGCATAGTTGAGCGTAACGCTTGCGGTTTTTTCTACGAACAATCAACACGTCGGGGCCTATTTATAAAACAAACATTTTATCCCAAATCACATCAATAACATTTGCTGCTGCTGCTGCTGCTGCTGACGGGCGCAATGATGTGTTTGAATTTTTGGTTTTGGCACAATTATTGATTGAACCACAAAATGTTTGATTTCCGTTTGGCAGAGTGGGAACTGTTACGATCAATAGGCGGGAATATATGTATGTATGTACTTTATTGGCCAGCAATGCATAAATAATGAGCAACATCCTGTTCAAAATCGACAAGAAGAAATCTAAACAACGAACGGCGCAATTAGCTTTCTGCACTCGAGCTGGCAACGCCGGCCAACAGCTGCTGCTGCTGGCTGATGGCAACGCCATGAGCTGAGATTTGAGCTTGAAATTTCATGCATAAAATATTTGCCAGCGTCGTCAAAAGTGTTGGCTTACACCTTGCTGTGTCATTGTTGTTGCTGCCGCTGCAGTTGTTGCTGCTGCTGTTGTTGTTGTTGTTGTTGTTGTTGCTGTTGCCCTATGAAAAATGTGGGAAAACTTTGTAATTCAATTTCGTTCGCCGCTGTGTGTATTGCTTTTACTTGACTATTTCAGCAGGCACTCGAATAATTGTAATGCAAAACCTCGACAATCAAATGACAGCCAATGCACTCCCGACCGACCGACCGACCGAAAGACAGCCAAAAGAATTTCTTGTGGTCGCACAAAACGTGCACTAAACGGCTAAACAAACAGACTTTTGGTGCTGTTGCCACTTTTTGTCTCTGGCTCTGCTTATGCTTTTGCCCTTTACCAAACTTGGCAGCACTCGACAAGCGAAAACAACAAATAAAACTGTGTAAAAGGTGTGTCCAATGACAATTGTTGTTGTTTGTTCGAAGCAAAAACGTGCAGCAAACAAAACAGAAAAAAAAAAAATCAGCTCATCTTGGCAAAGAAAAGCTTTGCTTAATTAGCAACATGTTGCGCTCGATACGCAGCAACATGTTGCGGGTGGTCCCAAGCAACACGCTTTAAACTCTTTTTGGGCTTGTTTCACAATTGTTTTAAGTTTAGTTATTTATCTCGAATACTTACATGCATTGATTGGGCTTATCGCACTGACCATGGAGACAGCCTTTGGCGCATTTGGCTGCAAATAGAAAGAAAGGGCATACAAATAACATTAATTGATATGCTGATGAGCTTAACAAAGGGCAAATACTTAAAAATAATAGCCTCGTGAAGCGACACTTTCCCAACACATTTGGCTTTTAAGTGGCCAGCTGACCGACCACCTGTCACAATGCCCAGTTACGCCCACACGCAGCCCACATTCACGAAACAATGAGGGGAACACAATGCGAACAAGATTTGAGGCAATTTGAAGGGGGGGGGGGGGGGGGGGGGGGGAAAGAAAATAAACTTTCTTTTTCACGCGTCTCGGCAATGAAAAACCACTAAACGGGCCAAAATGTGGCATCTTCGAAACAATTCAACACTAGATAGACAAGACGTTTAAAAATGTTGTGGCCAAAATCATGAATCATGGCCCAAAAAAAAACTAAAAAATAAAACGCTAGTGACTCTCAAACTGTGCGGCAGCAGGAATAACTTGTTTCTAATATGCTGCGGCAGGCCAGGCCAACCCGGCCAGGCCAAAAGGAAACACCACAAAATGAAATAATCCCATGGCCGCAAAGAGCTGCAGCAGCATCATAAACCGCGGCCCGAAAACCGATTCCCAAGCTCCAAAAGGTTCGACGAAAACTTCGATTGTGAATTGGAGGAGCGAGTGAGAGAGAGAGAGAGGGTGAAGAAGAGCTGTTGCTGCTGCTGCTGCTGGAGCTGGGCCAAGAATGTGGCAAACATGTTTCTTTCGATCTGGGGCTGGGCCCTGGCAGGAAGTAGGGGAGTCTTCGCTGCCGCCCGCTTCGTCGCAAGGGCCGCGCACGAAGAAAATCGTGAACACTGCGAATAAGGCAAAGCTCCTCTTTAAACTGGCCAACCAGCGCAGACACCCCGTGTAAGTTTCTTTCATTCAGCAGGAAAATTGCTAGAAAATCACTAAAACGTGTTCTCTCTCCCGGCTCCTGCTGCTATGCGCTTTTAATTCCCCCGCACGCAGTTAATATATATAAGCCGTAATATTGGCAATTGGCAATGATTTTTATTACATGGCCACAGACCGAGGAGCAATCCAGACCAGACCAGACCAGACCAGAGCACAGCCAAGCAGAGCAGAGCAGCTACACTTGAAATTGTTTTTCCACAGCGACTGAAAGTGAGTTTGTTGTTGTTGTTGTTGTTGTTATTGTTGTTACTGGTTGTTAGCTGGTAGCCAGGTCTGAGGATCGTTTCGTGTCTATTTGAAACGTGCTCGGGTTCGTTATGTTCTTGGCTTCTTTCTTGTGTGAGTGCATGTGTGTGTGTGTGTTCACACGCCCGCAAGCGGATGACGCAAATGTATCTCATGGTTTAGGAGCGCAGGCCTAATGATTATGACGGACAATTCCAATTGGTGTGAATTTACTTTCACTTGAGTGCGCTTAGTTAGATATGTGGGTGTGATCTGCATCTGATAGATACATTTGTATCTTGCAGATACATTTGTATCTTGTAGATACATTTGTAACTTTGGCGTCTTAACAAGCCGACTGCAAGCGAAAGCCAATTTGCAAACATTCGAGCGCACGCATCTGACAGATACAAATGTATCTCGGGCCCAAGTGCACAGCTGCCCTTTCAGCCCATTCACAAAAGTAAACAACTTTAGTCTAAATAGCTCATTTCCTTGAAATTATAACGCACACACACACACACACATACACGTTACCAATTCAAAGCAATCGAAGTTTCATTCAAAAAAAAAAAAAACAAAAAGCCATGTTTACAGACCTTTTGGGCCAATTTAATAAAGGCAGCCACTTCCACATGAGCAACGTTTTTTTTTTTGTTGTCGATTTTTTGTTGTTTTTGCAGCCGCACGTTTTGGCTTTTTATTTGCTGCTGTTGGAAAATAATTTTCGCACAAATGTGTGTGTGTGTGTGCCTTAATTTAAGCTCATTTTTGCGCATTTAACTTGGAAATAAAGTATAGCAACAGAAAGAGCGGAAGAGGCAGCTGCTGCTGCTGCTGCTGGCTGGCAACTTGCTCAACCGGCAGCAGAAGGACACAAAATTATGTGCCCGAAAAAAAAGCAGGCAAACAGGCAGGCTGGCAGGCTGGCAGGCAGGCAGGCAGGCTGGAGCTCGAACCACATTTATGGTGTAATCAGCCGTGGCCAGCCCTAAAGGAAGTTCTGGTCTCGTCCTCAGCAATGCGCGGCATGCAGACGAAAACGACGACCGACGACGCAGGCGCAAGATACTCAAAAACGACATCGGCCACGACGGTACGTCATGATGATCAAGAAGCTGCTGCTGCTGCTGCTGTTGCTGCCTGTATTTGTATCTGTGTTTGTTGTAGATGCGTATGTGTGTGTGTGTGTCCACACCACACCTTGAATATGGAACCTGGGGCCACTTGCACTTGGCGTGGGAAGATTTTTGTGCTCTTCGCCAGTCTTGTGCTCTGATTCACAGTCCCTATGCGTGTGCGTGTGTGTGTTTGTGTGTGTGTGTGTGCCCCCGAAAATGCTGCATAGGTAGCTTGTGGGCTACTACAAAGGGCCGAGTCCGCGTCCGAGTTCAAATTGTGTTGTTTCTGTTGTTTTTGTTTTGTTTTGTTTCTGCTTCTTCCTCGGTGATTTCTTTTGGTTTCTCAGTTTTTCAGTTTCTCAGTTCGTTAGACGTTTTGTTGCGCCCGTTTGTTCTGCCCCACGCCAAATGACAAATGATTTTTCCCTCACAAAATGAGAGGAACAAAATTCATTGATTTTTAATTTATTTGTTTGGCTATTTGGCTTTTCGTCGATATTTGAATTTTTTTTTTTCTGCTACGGCTGATATTCAAATGTGCTTCGGCATTTTCGTCAAATCATCGCAAGCTACGCATTCAAAATAATTACACTTTTAATTCGTTAGCAGCTCCTTGTGCCACCCCCCCTCCCCCCTCCTCCACCCTTTCATCCCCCCTTGTTTTGTTTTGTGTACAATCATCTCATTTGATTTGACAAGCAAGTGATTTTCAATAATAATGAGAGCTGCCCGTCAAGTGCGGCACAAGAAACGCGGCACGTTGTGTCCACTTGACGGCAGCAACAACAACAACAACAACAACAACAAAAAACATGGCCAAGAGCTTCGGCGAAAAGAATGTATAATTGTCGAACTGAGTGTGGAACTGAAGTAGTTGGCCCTCTGAGTCTTAGAAGATATATCTTTCATCTGTTGCATCTATATCTGTGTGTATATCCCTATCTATATCTGTATCTATATCTGCAATCTGTATCCGTATTTATATCTGTACATATATCTGTATCTGTATCTATATCTATATATATAATCTGTATCTATATCTATATCTGTAATCTGTTTCTGTATCTATGTCTGCATCTATATCTGTATATATCAGTATCTATATCTGTATCTATATATGGTATCTGTATCTGTATCTGCATCTAAAGGCTAGCTACTCATCAATCTGATGGATACTTACGTTTCTCGCAGTAGTCGCCCTGCCAGCCTGTCAGGCAGATTATTTCACCAGTTTCGGAGCATGTGTAGTGCCCGAATTGATCATCACGGGGTCGGCAGAGATTCGCACAGCCGGTGCCATAATAATGCGCATCGCAGGTGACACGAAAATCGTATTCGAGCGAAGTGTATTGGGACTCGGATTTGTTCGTCTTCCATTCGGATGAGACCTCGAGCACTTGCTGCACAGAGAGGCGTTGTATGAGCAGATCTGAAAAGAGATACAGACAAAACCATAAAGATAAGTAAAGTGTTTCGGTTTGTGTGTGAGAAAAATACGAGTCGAGTTGGCCCTAATGAAGATTAATTGGACTCGGGTTACAGTTTAAGGGAATCGAATGAACTTGGGAGGCTGTCACTGGAGCTGGCTGTCCCTGGCGGCATTTCGGGAGATTAGAAACACAGACACAAGAAATTCCGAAATCCCAAACCAAAAGCCGAAACTTCAGCTCGGCGAGTTGCAATCGCAATTGCGCTTGTCACACTCGCCGCGCAGGCGCACAAGTCAAGTGCCGTGCCAAGGTATGCGACCAGCCGGGGGTAAGTACTTGGTATTTGCAACAGGCGGGCGGGCGGGCAGGCAGGCAGGCAGGCGGGGGGGCAAGCAGGCAGACAGTCAGCCAGGCATGCAACACACGACCAACTGAGCGTCGCAGACGGACGTCAGTTGCATTTTCAGCTGTTCGCTGAGCCAAGCGGACCGGTCTTTTTTTTTTTTTTTTTTTTTGAGAAACTATTGGATGGCAACTTGTTTGTACCTATGTGTGTGTGTGTGCGCGCGTGTGTGTGTGTGTGTATGCATAGCTGTTTCATATAGCCACATTATGCCATGGTCTATAAAGTAAATTGCAGGTGCATGACTATTCGAATTGCATGCAGCCAAGTCGAACCTTAAGCCGTGGCTGACGCTGAGGCTGAAGCGAGCCAAGAGTTTTGTTAAGTTAACAAAAAACAAAAAAAATAAGAATAAAAAGAACCTATGCATAAATCTCCGTCTATCTATTGTAGCTCAAGAATCGAGTGAAAAGATATACTTTTTGGAACGCGCTGGCAAAAGCAAAAGTTGCCAAAGAGTTGATCACAGCAAAAGGCAGTTAGTGAAAGTGCGATTAAATAGTTGGCCACACAGATTAGCCTGGCTTAGAACCGCGATTAGAGGCAGCTAAAAAACTGGCAAGCGGCTGGCTGGCATGCAGTCAAAAACGAATACGAATATGGCCAGAAATGTTGTTTGCCCAATAAATTACAAGCTGCAATTGACAAGCGCACCAACTGGTTGCCCAAAATTTTGAGTCAAATAACCATATTCAAAATATCAACTAATTAATTACCAACCAAATGTGTGAATGCGCATGTGTGTGTGTTGCATAAACAAAATTCTAAGCCAGTTGCAAGTTGGCCAAGTCGTGTGCTTCACCTGACGTGGCAAAATGGAAAAACGCTCAATGCCTGAGACTCACGCCAAGCAACAACATTCCCCCAAAAAAAAGCACAGCTCAAGGCACAAAAATTATATTCAAAAATAAGCAAAAAGAATTGAATATTGTGTGTCTGTGGTTTTATTTACATTTGCAACACACACACACACACATACACACAGGCGGGCACACACGGACACACACATGCGGCAACGGATTTGTGGCATGACAGGTTATTAGGCGACGTACCGGCAACGCTTCAAGCGAGACGCACAATTTGACTGCAGGTTTCGGGGTCCAGTTTGGCCAGTTGGCCAGTGTGCAACAACAACAACAACAACGACAACGACAACAACAACAACATAGAAATAAATGTGGAAAATCATGCGCAGCAATTTTTGCAAATATTTACGCAAAACGGCATTTTTTTTAATTATCTATCTATAAAAAGGACACTAAAAAGAAGACATTTCGCACACTCAAAGTGAAAAGTTGCGTGCGGCAACTTTCGCAATTAAAGAAAATGTTGCTCTTAACGACATGATTAATGGCCGCCGAGTGCGGAAATTGTCAACAGCAATCAACCGAATTTTCCTGATGCAGATGTTTTCTCCTCTTTAATCAATTCTTCACTCTAATTATCAGAAACTAGATAAGCGAAATGGTTATAAGTACTTTATTTTCCCTTTGGGACATTTACTCAAGAAGCCTTTTGGCTAAATAAACACACGAACAAGTGTTGCCAAAACTATAAATAACTATTTCCCAAATTTCCCAGCTTGGGTAATTTCCTAAATTTGGGTACTTCTTCCAGAACAATCTATTACTCACAAACAAATGTTGCCAAATTGCTATGAGATTCCAATCAGAACTACGATAATATACCCAACTAAATAGACGAGTGCTATGCAATAATTTCCCTTTTAGGACATTTAACCAAGTCACTTTTGGTACTTTGTTGCGCGTTTTGTCTTTCGAGTGAAATTTGTGTGCAACAAATTTGCAAGAGGCAGAATCTCAAACTTGACTCTGACAAGGGGCAAGGCTTAAGTGTAAGGCTTTGGCAACTGCAAATATTTAGTCGCAGTCGCTGTCGGCGTCGGCGTCGCCGTTGCCATCGCATCGCGCTGACTTCTTCTAAAGGAATTTATAAAATACCATTTTATCAAGACACACGACGGCAACGCGGCAACGTTGCAGACGGTTCGGCAAAGGGGGGCGGCGGCGGCGGTGGCAACAAGTTTTGTGTTTCTGTGGCAAAAAGAGACCCAGGGACTGTTGCTGGGCTGCCGCTTGATCCAATGAGTTAAAATTAAAAGATAAGCATTTTAACAACATCGCCAGCAACAACAACAACAACAACAACAATAAGGCACAACAACGTGCAACTAACAACTTTGGCATTGGCAGAGATTAATTGGTAGGTAGGGATAGGTGAAAAAAGAGAAGGAAAGAAAAAATAAACGAAAACAAAACCTAAAAAGAACGCCAGCGAAAATCTTAAGAGCATGAGTTGAAAGATTTCGACGCATCAAGCCAAGAATCACCTTGCACGACGCCTCGTGCGGACAGGGGGGCAAGTGGGGAGGAGGGAGCAGGGGGGCCGGTCAAGCTGTGTGTCTCGTCCTCCTCCTCCTCCTCCTCCCCCTACTCCATCTGCTCCACCTCAGGCCGTCCGGCAGGCAAACAACTGCTGGCCTCCTGCCTGCAGGCAAACTGGCGAAAAGGTCGCAACTCAGTCGAGTTCCGATGTCCCCCCCTCGCTGCGTTCGTATTTCTCCTTTTTTGTATGTAATTTATGTTAAATGAATATAACAAAAAGAGCTGCTAAACTTGTTGGCCATGCAACGCACTCGAGACAGGCGTAAACCTACCATGCAGCCAGCCGGGCGCAAGTATGCGGGAGATCGTCCCCGAGCCTCCTTGATATAATGAAATTAATCCTTGACAAGCGCGTACAGCGACTAGAAGAAATGTGCGCAAAATTGAAATTGCAAAGGGCTTGCCCGGCCGATAAAGATCTATTAGCTCTGGCCGCGTCTAGTACTCGAAAATTAGCTGTTAAGATCGAGCTGGGCTCCCAGCAGGATATCATCAGTTAAAAAAAAAAGAAAAAGGAAAAAGAAGGGAAAAAGATAGAAACAAATCGAGTCGAGCTAAACAATTAAAATTCCTATACCAAGGAGTCGGTTCTCCAGAAAATGGGGAACGCAGAAAAACTAGATTTTAATGGAAGCCCACATAAATCTTGGTCCCAGGTCAGGAAAACAAGCAGGTAGCCCGATCATTGTGTGGGAAAACTGTTCAGAAAATCAAATGGAAAACCTGCTTTGATCAAAATGTGAAAGAGTAAAGAGAGAGAGAGAGAGAGAGAGAGAGAGAGAGAGAGAATATGATGATATGTGGTGCAGCGTGTCCTTGGGCATGGACCACACAGATCCCTCCCTACGTCTGTGTGTGTGGGCCTTATCTGGCTGCTGGATCGACGATCATGTCGCATTGTTCCAAGATGAATTACACGCCGTACACGATCGCTAAATTCCGCAGTGAAATAATCAAAGTCCTTCGCCTAGCATCGACAGTTCGTGATTAAGAAAAACGCAGACACAAGCTAAAAAACGTAAATGAGACGAGGACGAGGACGGGGTCGGGGTCTGGACGACCTCAGCACACTTCCGTTCGAGGGCGAGCAGACAACAAAGGCGACAAGTCTGCGGTGCCTCCGGCCTGGGTTTATCCCTGACTAAAAAAAAGGGAGCCAGCGGTGCTAAACCTGACGCTCGCTCAATGCCTCAACCTGGCTGTTATTTAAAACCACTCGAATGTGCCGGAAATCTTACACACACACACGCACACGCACACACACTTGCGGCAAGTGTTGAACTTTAGTTAGTTGCGCAGTTAGCGAAACTAGAAATTTGAGTGGCCGCATATCAGGTGTCGCTCCAAGGATCGTTGATCCTCGCCAGCCAAAAAAAAGTAATGAATGCAAAAAATAATCAAAAAACAATTCTGACAGCTTTCGATCAAACAGGAAGCAGGATGCGAGTTATGAATTTCAATTAAAACAAAAAAATAACTGTGCCACAGGATGTTGACAAACTTTTGGTACTCACTGTTGGTGCGCGCATTGGCGCTGTTGTTCGTATCGTGCCAGGCCTCGACGATCAGCGTGAATGTGCCCTGCAAGCAAAGCGTAAAAAGAAAGTTAATACAAATCATATTAAAGAAGAAAAATAAAAAGGGTAGATTATTTATAGTGTTAGCAAGAGGAAGAGCAGCTTATCAAAACGGGAAGCGATCCGCGCTTTGTGCCGCATTTAAACGAAATCTGGCACTTATAGAGATATCATCTGGGCCACAAACCAGCTTCGAGCTAATGGCTCGAAAGCTCTTACAAATCCCACAGCCCACAGAGCTCATTATAAACAGATTATGACAGCGCCGAAGAGGCCCGCCCACATGCCCACAAGCTAGCCAGCAAGGCAAGTGGCGGGCAACGGGCAACGGGGGGGAGGGGGGCAGGCAAAAATGTGCCAACACACACACACACACACATTTCAAATGCAAATGCACAGCAGTTGGCAACTGGCAGCGCCCTCAATTCACACTTGATTACAAATGCAGCCTGGCCCGAAGGGGGGAGGGGGAGTGGGCAAAAACCAGACAGAGATGACACAAAATCCAAGAGCCAAAATGTATATATACATACATGCTGTGTGCATAGAAACATATGCGTATTGGCAACATCTGAGCTAAGCTCAAAGTAGCTTGAATGGGCGTGTGATTGCGTACGGCTTCGAGTTTGAGTTCGAGCTCGAATTCGAGTTCGAATTCGAGTTTGCGTTTGAGTTCGTGTTTGCATTGCATTAAAGCGACTAATTTTTGACTAACTTTCGATTGCTGCATCGCTGTTGTTGTTGCTGCTGTTGTTGTTGCTGTTGTTGTTGTTGTTGCATGTGTGTTGCGTGGGCGGCAGATGTAGAATTAATTTAGTTGATAAGCGCAGTGCCGTTTGATTGCATAAGCAGCTGAAGTATTGGATGTGGCTGCGGTGTGGCCAGACATTGAAAACTGCATTTGCACATAAGCACATAAAGCTGATGGGCACGACAGGAAACAAATCAGACACACACACACACGCACACATAGATCATTGGCAGTTCACAATGGGAATTCGAACGAATGAAGCGCTGCATTTATTGGGAATTTTGCAGTGAATACAAGTTTTATGCCTTATTGGGCTATAAAACGAAATGAATATATTTTTCCAATTGGCAAATTTCAAATTATTCTAGCAAACTCTGGCGACTAGCTGTGATATATATATATACATATAAATACGCATGTACATAAAATATATATGTATACATAAAATATATGAGCTCCAAAAATAAATGAGCGACACACACACACACACACATGGGAACACGCGAACATATATCGCGTGCGACGACGCTGTATTTCAACGTCAATATCTGCAGCATAGGGTGAAGTGCATGCCAAATGCATAGGGCGCACGAGCAGAGTAGGAGTGGCAGCCACGTAGCAACAGGGACAAGACAAGACAAGACAAGACACCCGCCGCAGTCATACGGAGGGGCAGTGCGGGGCGAGTAGGGGCCGCATCGACAGACAAAAGTAACAAAGTTCAATACACAGGCAACAGGCAACAGGCAACAGCAAAAGCCACAGACAACGATGAGGAGCGTCAAAGTTGCTGCCGTTGCCAGTCGTTGACTATTTTTAGGCACAGCCACAGCAGCAGCAGCAGCAGCAGCGGCAGCGGCAGCTGAAGAGGCGTCTCCGGCAACCCCCAATGCAACAAGCGCATCTCATACACTCGCACATGCATGCGTGGCCCGTGGCCCGTGCCCCGTGCCCAACCCGTGGCTCATTTTAATTAAGTGCAACATTAAATTAGTTGCTGCTGAGACTCTGGCGCGCGTCTAGTCGCTGACTATAATTACATTTTATAGCTTGACCTAGAAATATTTGAAGTTGAAAGTGTGAGCACCAAAATAGAGCATTGTCTGACCGAAATAGTCAATTTCCTATTGCCTGACATTTGTGAATTGTCAACAAATTCCCTGTATTTGCATGTGACTGGGATCATTAATTGGGCAATTGTATAAATTTCCCCATTTTGGCACATCAATTTGGGACATTTTGCTTATTGACTTTTGCTAATGCATTTCGCATATTTATGCATGATTTTCTTTGAAATTAAAAGTGTGACATTTGTGAATTGTCAACAAATTCCTTGTATTTGGGCAATTTTATAAACTTCCCTTTTTTGGCACGTGCGCTCTGATGTCCGCTGAAAAGGTGTTCCCATTTGGGACATTTTGCTAATTGACTTTAGCTAATGCATTTCGCATATTTATGCATAATTTTCACTTTGCCCGCAGCTGCTCAAATTTATGCAACTTACACAATTCACGTGCCGATAACTCCAGCTAGACTCTAGCTATGTGTGCGTGTGTGTGTGTGTTAAAGTGTCGGCATATTCCCCCCTCCCCCCCTGTCCAGGCGCAATAGCCCAGGCATGGGCCTAGCATGACTTTGCCACTTTAGTCAACGCATGTGTGTAATGATAATAATGCTGACGCTGCACATGCGCGAGCGATTAGGAAGTAAAGTGTATACACAGAAGAGAGAGAGAGAGAGAGAGAGAGAGGGGAGAGGGGGCAAATCCACCCCTTAAGTCTGCCGCACACGCTGCGGGCGCGCTGACAAGCGAGAAGTCGCTTCAAAAATACGTTACAAAATGCAAGCGGGCCTCGGCGCAGCGCAAGGTAAAGCCCAGCACAAATAATGTGGGGTGAACAGCCAGCATAGAGGCAAGGGAGGCAGGGGTAGGGGCAGGGGGCAGGGGGCGGAGCGAGTCTTCATTCGGTATGGAAAATGTGGCCGTAATACTCGTTATAATTAGGAAATGCATCGCATGCAACCGTCACAAGCTATATGCGAGTGCTGCTTGGCCACTGGAGCATAAAAGAAGAAGAAGAAGAAGCAGACGAAGGCAAATGGAGGAATTCAGCTAGAGTGCAAGTATTTCGAATTTGAGTTATTTATTAAGCAAGCACGTGCGCTTAGCTGGGCGAGTGAGGGAGAGCGAGAGAGGAGAGGAGGCAGGCTGGACAGTCTAATGGAAAATCTGCGAAAGGTGACCAAAAGTCGTTTCTCTCTCGCTCTCTCTCCCTCTCTCGCTCTCTCTTTGTATGTCTCTCAAAAAAGTAACGTACGTTTGCCTCTGTCGTGTGGGGTGGGGTCAGCCAGGGGTTGAAAAGCGGCCCCGTTCCCGGCAATAGTCAGCGAGCTGGAAATTGTCGCTGGTGGTGCGCGGCGGCGCACGCGTTTTTCAGCGCATTTTAATAGTCGACAGATGTTTGCGCCAACAACCCTTGACAAGGACACAGTCAGCGCGGCAGCGACTGCGGCTACGGGCGGAAATAAGTGCGACGCACAGTCGCACAATCGGGCAGGGCTGTGCTATAAAAAGCCCCCAAACAAATTAGCAAAGACGCCGCAAGAGAGAGAGAGAGAGAGAGGGAGAGAAAGAGAGAGGGCAGAGTTAAAAGAAATTACAACTGAGCTGCGAAGACAGCACTGAACATTTTATTGACTGACTGACTGAGTGACTGACTGACTGAGTGAGGCGGGCGCTGACTCACTGTGTGAGGCTATATATAGAGACGGAAGATATATACAAAGTTATCTGTTGCGGGAGGATCGCAATCGCGTGCACTTACCGGCCAGGCAAAGTTGAAGGCGAACTGTATGGGATTCGTGAAGCCCCTGCTCTGAAAGCTCTGCGCATCCGTCAGATTGAAGGAGTTCTCGCCGAGTATGGGGGTCACAACATCCCCGTATGTGCACTGCGAGGTGGTGTCTATGGTCGCCTGGTAGTGCTTCAGGCAGACACGAAATCTCGTCTTGCAGGTGCCAATGCACCTGCCCGTCGTCGCATCCTTTTCGCCGGTGCAGCAATGGCCCTCGCTGTCCCGGCCGTGCTCGTTGCTGAAGTATCTGAGGCGCAATTCAAAATTGCCGGAACTGTGAACCTGAGCGAGAGAGAAAGAGAGAGGGAGAGAGGTAGAGAATATTGCATTAGTATAATCAAATTAAAAAGCAATTCATTTAAGTTGACGCTCCGATCGAAAGATCGCTCCAGCCGGCATACAACAAATCAAGAATGCAGCATCCCCAGCAACACGGCAATAAATCTTTCAACATGGTATTTTACCGAAAAAAGAGCTGCAAAAAGAATAAATAAATGAAACACGGCTACGCTGCGGAATTTTACGTGGCGATCAGCAAAACCACAAGCAAAACGACAACCAAAACCAAATACCAAATCGAGTAGCAATTGGCTGCAGATCGCGCAAAAGAGACCCATGCAAAGGACAAAGCGGAGTCTTATGAAATATTAAGAGTCAAGAACCGGGCAACCAAAATGCACAGCGAGCGGTCGCCTTTTGTCCCCCCCCCCTCCCTCCCCCCTCTGGCGGCCATGTTTCGGTTTACTTTAGACTCGACTCCAAGTTCGTTTCGTATTTCGTTTTTGAAGCGCCGCCTTTGTACGGGAGGTATTTGCATATTTCGACTTGCAAATTTGCGATTTGATATCGTTTGATTTGATTTGTCATAAATTTCTTTCAATTAATACGCTATCACATTTTACGACGCCGGGTGTGAGATGAATTTGTAAAATAGGTCGGCAGCGCGTGTGTTAACAACTTAATTATTTGAAATGTTTTCGAAAATAGCCCGTTCTGTTTGGAGTTTCGAGAATTTCCCTTGTTGGGAAATTGATGTCCGTCTTTTAGGGAAATTCTTGCGCATCGTATAAGGCTGTCGCCAGTGCACTTAAGTTATAATTATGATCCATAAATGGGCGCTGAAAACTCTCAATACTACGACAAGGCAATGCCCAAAAATAGGCGCTCTAGAGTTATTGCTCTGATTGCTGCTGCTGCTGCTGCTGCTGCTTCTATAACTGTTCGGCAATTAACATTTTGACAACAACAAGTGAAGCTTGTTAAAATGACAATTTAATTGTTAACAAGACCCGAGCACCGACTGAAGGCAGAGACGCAGCTAGCCGCTGCTCCACATGCGTTGGCTTGGGAAGCTTTTATTGTTCGAGTTGCTCTTGTTGTTGTTGTTAGAGTTGCTGTTGTTGTTGTTGCTGGTTTAGTTGATCTGTTTGTATGAACATGGGTGTTTAATTGCTCAATTAAGCAGAAGTGCGTCTGACGCTGCCTCTTTTCATGTCTTCTTCAGATGCTGTGTAAGCAATGCCCCTTCCACGCACAGGTGTAATCCGTTGGGGGCTCCAGAAGAGGAAAAACAAAAAACATAAAGCGTGGCTCGATGATACAAAGGGCGACTTTGAAAAGAGACCAACAAAAAAAAAACAACTGTAGCAAAGCTGCTTAACTAACATTTAATGGGCTCGGCAATTGAGCTCTGGCGCTAACATTTGCCGCACGCCTTTGTAATTGTGGCAAGTGTGGCGAGTTGTTGGCCTAGAGCGCATTCGGTTGATAAGATAAAGCAATTATTGATGTTCTAGCAGCTGCGAGTGCAGCTCGCGATAGCGCATAAAACTCGCACAAATCAAATATATATAGAAAATCAAGAAGGAAAAAACGCCTAAGATACACGCAAAACGAAAGACTTAAGCAACGAACGCGCCGACATATGCAGGCTGAGACGTCGACGGCGACGCTGCTGCGCTACGTACAACAAAACGTGTATTAATAAGCAGCGGGCCAAAAAAAAAAATAAAGAAGTAAAGAAATAATAAAAATAAAACAACACACGGCAAAACGGACGCAAAAGAGCAGCACAAAAAGAAGCAGCAGCGGCAGCAGCAGCGACAGCGGCAGCGACAGCGACGACGACGGCAACAGGCAGGCGAAGAAGAAGAAGAGGAAAAACGTTGAAAAAAATGAACAAGTAAAACCGAATTGTTTCCCACGGCATACGATTTTGCCGGTCAACATTGATGGTTAAAACGAACAAACGAACGAACGAACGAACGAACGAGCGAGCGAGCGAAGGAACGAACGATCGGGCGACGAAGTGACGGGCTCGACGTCGCGTCGGTGAGTTCAGTCGGAGGCGCAGCAAAGCAAAAGGTGTAAGCAAGAAACGAACGAACGCCAGGTGAAGAAGCGGCCTGCAGACGGCAGTGCATGCATGCACAGCCAGAGCCAGCCATGTTGAAAGAGCGAGAGCGAGAGAGAGTCACAGTAAGAGAGAGCGCAGCACAGAGAGCCGCTCTCAGAGAGAGAGCGCAAAAGCCCCATAGCTATAACAGTTTAGCGTGTGCAGTTGTTGTTGTTGTTGTCAGCTGGTGCTGTGGAGCTTTGTGCAGCCTGCAGCCGAAAGAGCAGCGCCAAAGCGCAAAAAGAGCAAAACGTGACTTAAAAGTGAATTGGAGTGTTGTTGTTGTTTTTCTTTATTTCTTTTTTGTTGCTTTTGCTGTTGTTGTTGGCTTCATAAAGTGCAGCTGGCAGCTGCTGGCAACAGCCTCCGCAAGCTGCTGAGAGCGCAGCGGCAAAGAGCGAAAACTTGTTTTTTTTTTTTTTTTTTTTTGAACGGCGCTTTGAAGAAGAGTAGTGCGAAAAAAATATAAGAATTAATAGACGATCAGCAATGATGCGTTGCTGATGCGAGACACAGACTGCGACGGCGACGGCGACTGAATCAGAATCTATAGGAAAAAAAGCTCTTGCAAAAGAAATGTTAGAAAAAGCAATAAGCGGAAGGAAGGTTAAGAGGCAAGTGCAGGGCAGGGCAAGAAAATATACAGCTATGGCTGGCCAACTATTTGATATGCAACAAACACACACACACACACGCACACATGCACATTACAAAGCAGAAGAAGCAAACAAAAAGCGCCAATGCGCATACAAACAAAGGCGCAGGCGGTTGTCAAAATATGTACAAAGCAAATCAATTTGCATAACAGCGAAACATTTACACACACACACACACATACAGAGACAGACAGACACACACAGAGACACGTGTTCGGTGGGAAAAGAAACAAAGCTGCGGTGCAAAGCTTTCAAATGATGTGCTATGACACAAAACCACAATAGTTTTGTAAAACAATTTGACACCATTTGAATGCTCAAATGCGGTGCATACGATTTTCCCACACTATTTTTGACAGTTGATTATAATTTCCCAAGCAGGGAAATTCTGCTAGCCAGCCAGCCACCCACGCACATTATGTTACAGTAAATGCATAGCAAAATTTCCCCTTAACCAATAAATTGTTGTTAATTTCGAAAATTCAAATTTTCTATGCATTTCCGTAGCTGGAAAAATATCATAATTTTATACACTTGTTACAGTTCTTTTGTTTGGCTTTGCCTTCAACTATGAACTTTATTACGCTTGAAGACCTTTTGGGCACACACACACACACACACACACAGACACACATAAATAAGAGGAGGAAAAAGCGCCTGTCGAGAGAACTTGAAAGCTGAAATGCCAAGTTGGCCCAAGACTGGTCGGGACGGGAACGGGAACAGGAACGGGAACTGGACAGACACTTGTTAAAAGTGTTAGAAAATAGTGCGTTGCATTGTTTACCTTTTGCTTGACTCAGTTTGCTCAGTTAGCTGTTGGTTTTTACGAGCCATGGTAAATTTATACTGTATATGAACGTGGTATTTTTTGTTGTTTCTATTTTCCTCTACTGCGATCACTCGGGCCTGACGCGACTCGCTGGGCCCCTGCCTCAGCAGCTACCACCACCCCGCCGTCCCGCAACCCCTCAGCACTTTTTGCCATTTCTGCTCAGTGTCTTGCACGTCAACTTGGGTTGACTGCCTGCCTGCCTGACTGACTGACTGACTGACAGTTTGAATGTTGTGGGTTACAACACACACGCACACATTAAAATGTATCAACGCACGCATTTTACTTGTATTTTAATAACATTTTCTTACAGGTGTTTGCTTAGCCTATGCTGCTGAGTGAGAGAGAACAAATAGGGGGAAAGAGAGCGAGCGAGAGAGAGAGAGAGAGAGAGGGAGAGTGCCCTTTGGCTTTGGTACGTTGTTTATTAATCATTTAAAGTCATCATCATAATCAACCGTTAACAACGGGCTTGGGAAACAGTTATAAGCGCAAGTGAAACAGCTTCTGTGTGTGGGAGTTGCGGCGCCCGCCTCTCTCTCTCTCTCTCTCTCTCTCGATCGCACCCTGGTTTCTAAATTGCAATTAATTATGTTATAAAGTGCGCAAGACAAAGACGAAAATAATGAAGCAGCTCGGCTCAGCTCAGTTAAGCTCAGAGACTGCGTTATTCATTCATTCGCTCATTCATTCATTCATTTGACGTCGTTGTCTCAATGTTAATATGAAAATTGCACGAAATGCAAAACAGAAGAAAGAGCAATTACAGCATGTCGAGTATGTACATGTGCATGTGCATGTGTATGTGTATGTGATAAGCATTTAGACACAAAGTACGGTTATTTGATAGTTAAGTGATATTAAAACGCAGCATGTGTGAATAAACCATGTGTAAAAGAAATAGAGTGATAGACAGCGAGGGGTGAGGGGGAGCTTTCAATGCTGAATTCTAATACAAAAGGAATAAGGTATTCATATTTCAGTGTTGCCAGATTGCCGCAACTAGCACATCCCGAGTCTCAAGCTGAACAACAACAGCTGCACTTTCTGATGTGCCCCAAGTTTAACTTGCAACATTTCAGCTGGCTGAAACGCAAGACCGCAGGAGGTTTCAAGACGCTTTTTCGAGTGCTGTTAAAATTAGCAAACTAAATGAAAAAAGAACAAGAAAAAAACAGCAACAGCAAAGAGAGGCGGCAGAGAAGAAGTGCAGCAGAGCCACATGCAATGTTCAGGGGATGCTGGCGTTAAAGATCAATGAAAGAAGCAGACGCAAAAAAAAAAAAAAAAAAAAAAAAAAACGAGAGCAAGTGCATGCAACGAGCAGCCGCCGCTGCGCATGTGTCGACGACGTCGACGTTGACGTTGACGTTGACCTACGCAAAGTGTAGCCAAAAACGCCCAAGTAAGAAGCGCATGCAAAAATGTCGACAGCGGCAGATGTTGCCCATTTAGACACTCACACACACACTCACACGCACACACGCAATGCGCCTGTATTAGTGCATTTAAGTTTCATATTGAAATCGAGCAGCTTCTCGGTTTTCTGTTTTTCGAGGCATGCGCCGTTGGTGGTAATTTTTTTTTGTGACCCTATAGAGACTGTTAAGTTTTTGATATAGACCTGTTTGTCAATTGAAATACCCAAAACTAGTTTTCATCTAAACGAGTGCCAAGGGTGTTCCTTAAAAACCAACCCCTGTTTGCTCAGCTGTTTTCTCAACTCAACTTCTCGTATTACATTTCGTTTTTATAAAAACTAGCCAAATTATAATCAAAAAAAATTAAAAAAAAAAAAAATGCATAGACGAGATAAAGTTATTATAGCAAGGCAAGGTCCTTTTCTACGCATATCTGAATTTTGAATTTTTTTAATTTCAGGAAATGCATATTTAGGACTTTACAAATTCTATCCAACTATAAAAACCGCTAACTTTAGCTCGTCTCTGGGTTGTCACCAGGCTGGCAACGCCAAAAGCTCGCTCTCCTTCACGCACACACACAAAACGGCAGCTGCAAAATACAGGCGCGCATGTGTGTAGCAAGAATTACCGAAATAAAAAGAAGAATAACCAAAGAAAAACCAACAAGTTGCTGGTCCTACGAAATTTAATTAAAATGTAAAAGGAGAAAGGCGAAAAAGGAGCAAGGCAGAGGCAGAGGCAGAGAGAGAGAGGGAGAGAATAGCTTACCTGCACAATTACTGTGAAGCAAATGAATGCGGTTAATAAACATTTAATCCACTGCATGTTTATTGCTGTTGTTGTTGCCAAGCTTTCTTGCTGTTGTTGTTGTTGTTGTTGCTGCGGTTGTTGTGTTGTGTGTGTTATTATTAGTGTAATAATCCTTAGTGGGGCGGCCTTGTTATTGTTGCTGCTTCACTCACACGCACACACTCAATTACAACATAAAAAATAGTAGCTTATTGTATTTTTGGCAATTCCCTTTTGCAGCTAACTGCGGCACATGCTTTGGCAATTTTCTGTTGCTTTTGTGTGCATTTTGTTGTTTTCGTGTTTCTTTTCTTTTTTTTTTTTTTTTTTTTTTTGAATTTGTCTCACACGTGCACGCGCCACATTTTTTCTTTACTTTTGTGTTAGCTTCTCTGTTGTGAGACAAGAATTCGACGGCTTTTTTCTTTTTGGCGAATTTTCTTCGGCCTGCTCCTTCTCACGCACGGCGGGGGCGAGATGGCAAAGTGCCGTTAGTAAATTGGCAATATAAAAATCGCACACAACCGAGCTATATAAGGACACACACACACGTACGTACACAGATGCAAAACAAAAATTGTATTTGCCTTAGGTTGATGATGCTTTTTTAAAAACCATTTGAAAAACTCTTTTCGATTTGTTCATGCACTTTTTGTAATATATTAACGCGAATATTTCAGAATTGGCAGCTCTGCTTCTTCTACTACTACTTCTTCTTCTTCTTATTACACACTGAACATGCTTTAATTCGTATTCAAATTTTTGGTTGCACACTTGATTGAAATTTGTGCGTTTTGCATTTGCTGCTCGTAAAATGGGCTACAAAAATTTCAAAGCGACGCGCGACACGACCGAACGATGTGCACGACATAAGAGCCACAAAGCGAATTGGCGACAAAACAACGAAGCAGCCGCAACGAACCGCACAGCGCAAGAATCAAAAACAGAATGAAAGCAGAAAATGTTTTATTTTCTAAATTCGTTTTAAGCAGCCACGGTGAGAGAGCAACATACGGAGAGGGCGACATAGAGCGAGAGCCAGAGAGTGAGAGCGCGCGCTCGAGAGAGCATAGTTGCAGCAACAAAAATGCTGCCAGCAGCACACACACACACACACACACACACTTTTCGTGGTCATCCCTGTTTGACGGGATGTACGTGAGCGGTAAGCTGGGTGCGCCTGCGCGTCAGAACGGGACAACTATTGTCTGCCAGCTGCTGAGCGAAACGCGTTTTTTGTGCATATTTAGCGCGTTTCTGGCAAATGTTGCAAGGTGAGAGAAATGTTGCTGCAACATTGTTGAGCGGTCAGCCAAGGTGGTTGCGAGAGGTTAAGATTTTATGTAAATAAATAAAACTAATGCTAACCAAAGACTAAAATCTATTTTTATATTAAAGTTTACTAACTACTGTATTTGACTGATTTTAGCGCAAATTTTTTGCGCGCGCAATTCGCTTTAAAAAGTCAATGTACGAATTTTTCAATCCTTTGTCTATGGAAGGGTTGTTTTTTTTTTCTATAGCAGCAAAAGGACCATAGATAAGCTGCAGGAACTGCACATAAAGGGATTTTTGGTCCTTTGTGGCACACGATTTGCATGTGAAAGGCTTTTTGGGCAGTTTTTGGCGCTCAAACATAAAACTACAAAAAAAAAAACGAGCGAAGCAAATCAAAATTAACATTCAATATTTTGGGTGGAGAGAGAGGGGAGAGAGGTGTGTAATTTACAGTTTGGATACAGATTTGCGGAAAAGTTTGATTAGATGTAAAATAGGGTGAAAATTATTTGAAAAAAAAAATAGTTTTTGACCGAATTCCGTTTGAGAATTATTTAATTATTTTTATTAAAAAAAAGAAATGTTGAGAAATGTCAGAAAATAAATATCTATATTTATCTTCTAGCCAAAGTTGGATTTATTGAAATCAATTGAAGCAAAAAAAATGTGGGACAGAGCCAAGGATCATGTTAAGAACATAAGGTATATTAATAAACCTTTAGAGAGTTAAGAAAACAAATGATTGGGAATGCAATGAGAAATATGAATATATATAATAATAATATATATATTAAAGTAGAAAAATATTTACTTAAGACATTGGGAACATCTTTTGTAAAAGGCTCTGAAAATTCAAGGAATGGGTCAAGGTCAAGATAAATGTCAATGAAAATTATATAAGATCATCGGAGGAAGCTCTTACATATCATAAGGAATGCAATGAGAATTATGTATATATATAATAATAATAATAATATATATATATCAAAGCAGAAGTCTGCACTCAAGACATTGGGAACATCTCATGTATATAGATCGGAAAATCGAACGAATGAATGTCGCATCGATTTGCATTAGCTCAGATTGTTAATCATTTGTTGTCGATAAATTCTGATAAATGGCCAGAAATCTGTGCAGCGTCTGATCCAGCTGGAGCTCAATAAAGTTGTTGAAATTTGTACATAAAAATCGGTCTTCATTAATTTGCATGTCGCTGCGATTGTTTGGGGCCAACAGAACATTTGCATATGAATGGTAAGAGGAAAAAACGAAACGAAAGGAAATGTTAAATCGAAGAAGGAAAAAAGCAATCAAGTCAACACCCAATTTTACAAGAGCCAACTAAAATTTCACCTCACTTTCAAGTGGCCCAGAAGATGGGCGGGGCAGGCAGTTCGAGTTGGAGCTGAAGCTGGACGGGATGTGGTGCTCCTGGCAAGTTCAATATTTAAACAACAATTCTTTCGCGCCATAAATTAGGCAGCAAAATGTGAGCGAAGAGTGAAAAGTTTTTAAATGAAACACAAATTTATGGCCGCCAAAAGCTGCGGGCTGTGGGGCAACAGTGCAACGGGGCAAAAGGGGGCAAGGGGGCAAGGGGCAGCGGGCCCAGCTCCAGACACACCAGAGCCACGGTCAGCGCCAAGTTAGCACCTGTAAACCGGTTGCTGGGGCTGTTGTGCAGGTAGCCTGGCCGCTGGCCAAACAGATGTCCTGCTGCTCCAAATTGAAAGCGCAACATACATCATCCTTCCAAAGGGCGTCCCCCGCCGCCCGCCGCTGCCCCCGCTGTGGCCATGGGGCGACTCGCCTTGCCGTTTTGAATAATAAGCAAAAAGCCAAAACCCAAAACACACAGCCAAAAGAAATTGGGGTCATGCACTTCGCACGCATGCGGCGTCTTGCCGAGCTGCCAAGCTGGCATCAGCCCCCCTCCCCTCCCCTTCCCTACCACTGCTGCAACACGTTGCGGTCAACATCTTTCACTTTGCAAGTGTACTTTATATACTTTTGTATTTTATTTTTTATCAGCTTCGCCTCGTTGCATGCCACAAGAAACTTGAAAATTAGGCGCGTGGCTGTGACATTTAGCAAAAGGGGCGGCAACCAGGGGGGGAGGGACTGCAGTTGAGTCTCGTGATATGTTTATAGTGCATGTGCGGAGGGAGGGAGCCTTTATGCAACCTGTTGACGTTGCTCTTGACTTGAATGGGGCCCCTATTTCTGAACTCATCTCACAAAATATAGATATTACAAGAAAATCATAATGGGAACGCCGAAGATCTAATACCCTTGCAGACATTTCCATTGTTTCATAGGATGCTTCTATGCCAGCGACCTTTCCTATAGGAACTATAGGCTATAGTGTTCCGATGTTGATAAGATTTCGACTTTGAAAACTCAAGATTGCTTTTCTTATAGATATTCGAAGATATTGCTGGTTGACTTTAAGAGTAGCATAGTTTGATGATCTGTTTCTAGAAAGGAATTCATGTATACCTTTTATTTTTATTAGGTAACTTGCTTCCATTTGGAACAGGTTACTTTGAGGACACTCTGCACACAGCTTGGCCAGATTAATTCCAAGTCCAGAACAGCAACAAACTTTTGCAGCTTTGGTTCCAGGAATTTTGCACAGAAATATCCGCACGCCATTCAAATGATTCCAAGAACTGTGGCACATGTTGCCGAGCCGATCGCCGAATGTCCTTGCCCGCCGCAGAGAGGAGATGAGTACAGCTGATGGCTGCTGGGGATCCCAGTAAACATCCTGTTATGAAACTGCATAACTCGTTTGGCGTTCATTCATTCATCAGAAAGCGGGCAAGGCGAATGCGTAAAAGTTCGCGTAAATAAATGAAGAAACCGGAAGCGAACCATAGAACCTGCAGTTCGTGGGAATTTCGTGAGCCACTTCCTTCCTTCCGCCCGAACTGAGGCCGAACAACAAAAGCGCGGGTGGAGCACCGATCCAGCCACAGATCCTTCTTGGGATATGTCTATGAGCGCGAATCAAATTACGCGTGGCCCGTCCACAGTGCCCGAGTCTGCGTCCCTGGCACAGTCTCTCTGCATTCATCAGCCACATGCTGCTGCTGCTGCTTGTTGGTTTGCACCTTGAGCCTTGACTACTTCCGGTTTTGCGCGAAGGACATCAACAACAACGACGACGCAGCGACGCAGCGACACAGCGACGCGACTGTAGCAGCAGGTAGTTGTTGTTGTAGTGTCGAGTTTTTGCAGTTGCCTCGCGGCCGTTTCCTGCGCCTTGCCCACGCCATGCAAATAAGGATGTCGCCGCCAGGACATGCCAAATAAAGACAACAAGTGTCCGATTCACCCGAGTCCTTTGCCGGATGTTTTTCATTAATCGATTGCAATCGCCAATGGGATTGCCGTCAAGTGCTTTAAGTCACCCACAAAGGGATTCTGGGCAAGGATTTAAAACTTACTTATCAACTGCAAGACTAGCGATTTTCAAGTCCTTAAATGTTTGATAAGTTAGACACTTTTATCAGAGTGAGCAACGGGGGGGTTCATAGCTAAGCAATAGTTTTTGGTTTAAGGTAGCTTTGCTTGGATTTGTACAGGTAGGATGGATAGGCAGATAGATAGACACATAGATAGATAGATAGATGGATGGATAGATAGATATATATATATGGTAGTATATGTTCATTTTGTTAAGTCTAGTCTAGGTTCTAGTTTGTCGGGCTGTTACTTTTAAGACTTTTTTCTTCGCCTCCTTAGCAGCTTCCTTGCCATGACATTAG